TTTTGAGATGGAGTCTCACTCTGTCACCCAGGCTAGAGTGCAGTGGTGCAATCTCAGCTCACTGCAACCTCCACCTCCCAGGTTCAAGTGTTTCTCCTGCCACAGCATGCCGAGAAGCTGGGACTACAGGCGCACTGATTTTTGTATTTTTAGTAGAGACGGGGTTTCACCACGTCGGCCAGGCTGGTCTCAAACTCCTAACCTCAATGATCCCCCCCGACCTCGGCCTCCCAAAGTGCTGGGATTACAGGTGTGAGCCTCCGCACCTGGCCATGTGATTATTTGTGAAGGAAATATTTAAAGGACATTTTGCTAGGTGCCTACTTACCTTCCAAAAAACATTCTGCTCGTTTACACTCCTCTCAGCAGTGTAGGAAAGTACCCATTTCTCCACCACCATCACCATTACCAGCAATTACCAGTTTTCTTAATAACCAACTAGTAAATGAAAAGATTTTACTTTCTTTAGTAACCAGTAATGTTAAACGCATCTTTCCAGATGTTTATTGATCACTTGAATTTCAACATTGGCTATTTACTTCTTTTGCTCATTTTCTAAGGGAGTGTCCACCTTTTTACACAAGATACTCGAACTGTAGGCTAAAGGTGAACTGGGCCCCAAGGGTTGTATGTGATGTGGTAGGCATCCAGAGAGCCCATCAAGGTCTAGGTTGGCAAATCAAGGAGGCCTTCCTGGAGGAGGTGGTGCTCATCTGCTGGGATTCCCTGTTGGAAATGTTAAATTTGCTGAAAGAATGGATGGATTTTCTTCTAGAATAAGAATGGAACAGTTGATGTCCATAACCCAGGAGGAGACTGAGAACCTACGGCGACGTGAGGTTGCCTGTAAGTTGCAGAATGGGGAGCTTGTGAGCACACTGCCTGCTGGCTGGTCTGGCAGGGTGGATGGCCCTTCCTCTGTTGGCCATGCATGGAGGGTGCTGAGTGTTAGCCCTCAAGAGGGGTGGTCAAATCCCACTATGGAGCACAGGCTGTGGGGTCAGCCTAGATGTGGATTCAGAGTCCCAGTTCAGACACCCACCATGTGATTTTAGGGACATTACTGCTCCCCAACTTTTCCAAGCCTCAGTTTTCTTAGCTATACAATGGAGGAAATGGGCCAGGCGTTGGGGGGGGCTCATGCCTGTAATCCCAGTGTTTTAGGAAGCTGAGGCTGGAAGATCACATGAGCCCAGGAGTTCAAGGCTGCAGTAAGCTGTGATCACGCTACTGCACTCCAGCCTGGGTAACACAGCGAGACCCTTTCTCAAAAAAAAAAAAACAAACAAAAGTCCAAATGCCCCCAGATAGAGGATACTTAAATAAATGTGGGCGATCCGTGTGCTGCGGCACTGCACCGTATTAGCACCCCATTAGCGTGTTATGAGGAGTGTTCACAAAAAGTGGGAAGTGGGATGTCATTTTCATTTTTTTATTTTAAAATATGCATAATGTGAAATTTACCATCTTAATCGCTTTATTTTATTTTATTTTATTTATGTTTTGAGACAATGTCTCGCTCTGATGCCCAGGCTAGAGTACAGTGGTGTGATCTTGGCTCACTGCAACCTCTGCCTCTCAGGTTCAAGCTGTTCTTACCTCCACCTCTGAGTAGCCGGGATCACAGACGCACACCACCACTCCCGGCTAATTTTTGTATTTTTAGTAGAGATAGGGTTTTGCCACGTTGGCCAGGCTTGTCTTGAACTCCTAATCTCAAGTGATCCACCTGCTTCAGCCTCCCAAAGTGCTGGGATTACAGGCGTGAGCCCCCGTGCCTGGCCTATTTTAATTTTTTTAAATTCATAAATATGCGTAAAGATTGACTAGAAAAATATATATCTTTTTTTTTTTTTTTTTGAATCGGAGTTTTGCTCTTGTTACCCAGGCTGGAGTGCAATGGCACGATCTCGGCTCACCGCAACCTCCGCCTCCTGGGTTCAGGCGATTCTCCTGCCTCAGCCTCCTGAGTAGCTGGGACTACAGGCACGCGCCACCATGCCCAGCTAATTTTTTGTAGTTTTAGTAGAGACGGGGTTTCACCATGTTGACCAGGATGGTCTTGATCTCTTGACCTTGTGATCCACCCGTCTCGGCCTCCCAAAGTGCTGGGATTACAGGCTTGAGCCACCACGCCCGGCCTAGAAAAATATATATCAAAATGGAATAATATTTCTGGGTGACAAGATCACAGAAGGTTTTTTGTATGTGTTATTCAGTGCTTTACAATTAGCCTTCCAAGCATAAGTTGCTTTTATAATTAAACAGAACAAAGGGTTTTTTAAGGTGACTCTCGGGTAGGTAACCAGGTGAAGCCTCAAGGCCTGTTCCTCAGTTCCCGTGAAAATCCCTGCTGCATCCCTGCCCAGGCGTCCCAGGAGCAGCGCCCCGCTGAGGCTGTCCCCACCCCATGTTCCCGCAGCCGCCATGCAGCAGATGCTGACCGAGCGCTGTAAAAACCGGCTCATGCAGATGGCCTACGAATCTCAGAGGCAGAACTTGGCCCAGCAGGCCTGTTCCAGGTAAGGTAAGGAAGAGGAGTCCCAGGTGAGGGAGCTGGGGGAGCCGGCTAGGGGCCCAGGACCATGGGGTGAGAGCTGGATGCTAAACCTCCCGCCCTGGGCCACCCCAGCCTCCCCTGTGCCATCAGGTGCAAGTGATGGCTGCTGTTCCTGAGTTTCCGGCCGGACCTACGATTCAGCGCCGGGCTGTGAGAAAGTGCCAACAGTCACTCCCATCTCTTGTGCGCTCCCTGTGTGGCAGGCACTAGGCTAAGTGATGAACCGCATTCTCGGATTGATTCTAGGAGGGACTGTGTTGTTATTAGCCCCATTTTGCGATCGCAACTCAGGTTCTGAGCAACTGTATAACACACCCAAGGAAGCACAGCCAGCAGGTGGCGGAGCCTGGATTTGAGCCCTGCAGAGGGATGGGGTGTGCCCTTGATTGTGGTGCACCCGTCAGTCTGTCTCCAAGGACCCCTGAGGTTAGGGGTGGGATGCCCTGGAGGGATAAGTGAAGGGGTTGCTTTCCTGCCATGGCCACTATGGATTCGGGCTCCCTGTGCTCAGTGTGGCACTGTGGGTTTGTTCGCGGTTCCACAGGTGTCCAGCAGACCCAATGTGGAAAACTCAGTCAGTGCTCAGGAGCCCCAAACGGACAGGACAGCAGCCCCAGATGCCCTGTTTCTCCTCCCATGTAGGTGACTGGCACAGCTACCACCTTCCAGGGTACCTGAACCGTGCCAGCCTCCCCTGGGTCCCTGCAGATGTGGGAATTTCTAGCCCCTTTCCTGCTGTATGCCGCTGTGCTTAGGAGTTGCAAGCCCAGGGGTCAGAGCTGGATACAAGCCCCACTTCTGCTTACTAACCACGAGGTCTCAGGCAGGTCTCTCCTTCCCTGGGCTTCAAATTTCTTAGCAGATGAATCGTAGAACCTACCTGTAGAGTTGGTGGAGGATGTGATGAGTGTTAATAAGCATAATATCTAGTGCATAAAGGTTCAATAAATACTCGCTATTGTCGTGAAGCAGGAACCTCACTGGAAAAAAATAATTGCTATTATTATGAAATAAAACCAAGATAGTGGCCGGGCACGGTGGCTCAAGCCTGTAAACCCAGCACTTTGGGAGGCCGAGGTGGGTGGATCACCTGAGGTCGGGAGTTCGAGACCAGCCTGGCCAACGTAGCGAATCCCGGCCTCTACTAAAAATACAAAAAATTAGTCGGGCATGGCGGTGGGCACTTGTAATCCCAGCTGAGGCAGGAGAATTGCTTGAACCCGGGAGGTGGAGGTTGCAGTGAGCCAAGATTGCATGGCTGCACTCCAGCCTGGATGACAGAGCGAGACTCTGTCTCAAAACAAACAAACAAACAAAAACACACCAAGATGGCACCAAAGCACAGCACAGATATACAAGAGGCTGCAGGTTCTTGTGCCCAAATTACCAGCCTTGTCTGGAGGGCTGAGTGCTGCTCCTTGACCAGGGTGAGAATCCCAGGAAGGACAGCTCTGTCACACTCTAGTGGCTCATCACCCATGGGAAGCGGGAGCTCTGCACCCATGGAGGTGGCTGGGCAGAGGCCAGGCATCCACTTCCAGGGGTGCTGTGGAGGGTATTCTGGTGGAGTGTTGGTTGAGAGGACCTGGAAGTGTCTCCCAGCTCCCAACTCGATCCCCCTCCCTCAAGGCCACAGGACTCAGATAGACTCAGTGTCTGTGCCCATCCAGGGCCTGGCTCCCAGCAGGTGTTCCATTAGTGAGGTCCAGTGAAGAAATGGATTATCTTGGTCTCCTCTGAGGGGCCTGGCACATAGTAGATGCTCAGGAAACGTTCAAGAATGAATGAATTTGCTGTCTTTCTGGCAGCATGGCTGAAATGGATGAACGGTTCCAGCAGATTCTGTCATGGCAGCAAATGGATCAGAACAAAGCCATCAGCCAGATCCTGCAGGAGGTGAGCCCTTGCCCAGGGCCTGAGGGTGGGGGCTCAGGAGGGAGGCCCAGGAGCCAGGGCAGAGCACAGAGATCCACACAGAGCCCTTCCAAGACAGTGTGTGGGACCCCAGAGGTTTGTGACCATAGAAGTGTGTAGTGATTGGCCAGGCGCAGTGGCTCATGCCTGTAATCCCAGCACTTTGGGAGGCCGAGGTAGGCGGATCATGAGGTCAGGAGTTCAAGACCAGCTTGGTCAATATGGTGAAACCCCATCTCTACTAATAATACAAAAATTAGCCAGGTGTGATGGCTCACACGTGTAGTCCCAGCTACTCAGGAGGCTGAGGCAGGAGAATCACTTGAACCCAGGAGGTAGAGGTTGCAGTGAGCTGAGATTGCATCACTGCACTCCAGCCTGGGTGACAGAGCAAGATTCCATCTCAAATAGAAAGAACTGTATAGTGATCAGGGTGAGGGGCAGAGAGAGGCTGAGCGGGGACCCGGGGGGTGGTCTTCTGGTCACTAAAATCCACAGAAGCACCTCCATCTGCTCCCTGGGAGGCTCCCACCCCCAACCTGTGTCGGGGCTCCACTGGAAGGACTTAAGTGGCAGGAGGTGAGGGTGACCACACCAAAGTGCTGGGATTACAGGTGTGAGCCATCGTGCCCGGCCTGTTTAGCTTTTTCTTTCCTTTTTTTTTTTTTTTTTTTTTAAAGACAAAGTCCTGCTCTGTTGCCCAGGATAAGTGAAGTGACGTGATAACAGTTCACTACAGCCTCAAACTCCTGGGCTCGAACGATCTACCTTCACCTCCTGCATAGCTGGGACTACAGGGCCACCACGCCCAGCTAATTTTTTTGATTTGTTGGAGAGACAGAGTCTCCCTATGTTGCCCAGGCTGGTCTCAAACTCCTGGGCTCAAGCATCCTTCTGCCTCAGCCTCCAAAGTGCCGGGATTACAGGCATGAGCCACCGGCCTGCTGAGCTCTTTCCACTCCCTGTGGGAGTCTTGCCGCTGCCTGCCTTCTTCCCTCACCTCTGTCCTCTGTGTTTGTCATCCCACCTTGCTCCTTCCTCTCTGTTCTAAAATGGTTTGACTTAGTATCTGTGGAGCTTGTCTGAGGAAAGTTCTCTATTTCTCAGAGGAGGCATCTGCCTTGTGATTAAGTGGGGCTCGGGAGCTGGATAGGCTGGGTGTGTGTCCCAGTGCCGCTGGTTCATGCCTGAGTGTCACTTTCCCCATCTGTGGAATGGGGCAGTAAAAGCACCCACATAGTCCGCTGTGGTGGAAATTCAGGGTGTGATGCTGGAAGAGCATCAAGTAGAGGACAGCCCGCGGTAAGCCCTTAGTATCATTTTAAGGTTTTAGGTGGAATCTTCTCTCTCTCTCAGAAACAAAACCCATATGTTAAGGTGCTTGGTACATAGTTTTTGCTTTTCCCCGGGATGGGCCTGCAGGGAAAGGTGTGGGCATGGCCCCTGCTGAGGACCAGTGGTCTGTGTTGCAGAGCGCGATGCAGAAGGCTGCCTTCGAGGCGCTCCAGGTGAAGAAAGACCTGATGCATCGGCAGATCAGGAGCCAGGTGAGCTCTGGGGCCGTGGCCCCAGACCTGCCCTCTCGGAGACGTGCGGAGTGACCCTCCAGGGCAGCAGGTCGCAGCAGTTGAGGTTTGAACCCCAGCACCTTGGCTTGCTAGCCCAGCAAGAAGTCGAGTCCTCGCCCTCGGCACTGCCCTTTGTTCCCAGCCTTGTGTTGGGGATGCTAGGCGGGTGCCTGGAGGCCTCCTATTCTGGGGTTGGGCGAGGGTCTTACCAGCAAGCGTGGCCTGTTCAGTCTCCACCATGCCTGGGCCAGGGAGGGCGGCATTCATGTGTAGCTGTGACTCCTGGGGCCGCCTCCTGTCTGTGCTCCAGGCGGGACACTGGGAAAAGCAGCCCGTGCAGGCCCCCGTGCTACGGCAGCTCAGACCGACAGAGACCCATACGTCTCAGGGGCATATGGGATTTCCCCTGGAAGTGGGCAGGTGGGGCCGTGAGCCACGGTGGTCCTGTTACCTGCTGAAAAGTGACCTCGGCCCAAGAGGAGGAGGTCCTCTTTACGGGCCCTCCCTCACATGACAAGATCCCCCCAGGTGGCTGCTGATCTTCGAGGTGTCCTTGGGCAAGCACACCTGTGTGGCCTGGTGGCCGCCGCCTGTGGAGTGGGGCTGGGGCTGAAGTGAGCTTCAGGCTATGGGAACGCTCCTGCATCATGTTCAGCACACTGAATTTTACATTTTTTGCATGGTTTTTTTTTTTTTTCTTTCTTTCCCTATTTTTCTTTCTTTCTTTCTTTCTTTTTGGACCAATTTACCTTTTCAATTTCCCTCTTTAATTTCAATTCCACATTGCCGGACATGAAGCTCATTCCTCTGACCAGGGGTTGGTGATATCATAGGGACTTAGAGACGAGGGTCACAGGGTCATGGGCACAGGATAGGGAAGTACTGGCTGTGGGGCCTGACCTCCCCCCCCAGGGCTAAAATCCCCCAGACACACCCTGGAGAGTATGCAAGGCCCCCGACATTCTCACTGCAGATGGTTTGGACCAGGTCAGCTGTTCCCCTTCAAACCGTGAGCTGGGGCATCCCAGAGAAAGGGATCTCTCACTTACCTGCTCTGTGTCCTTAGGCAAGTGACTTAACCTCTCCGAGCCTCAGTTTTCTTGTCTGTAAAATAGAGGCAGTAATACCTCCTAACAGCCAGAGAATTGATGAAATATTACACATAAAGTATACAGCACAGGCCTAGCACATAGTAGGTGCTCAAGACATACCATCTACTACTCCCATTGTTACTCAGTCACTTACTTCCACTACCCTCTGCTCTCCGCTGCTGTGCGATGAGGGGCACAAGAGACCCTAAGCAGCAGGAGGCTGGGTGGTAGTTCTGTGTCTGTGCTTTACTCTGGCCTGAATCTCCAAGCAAAGCGCCCTCTCCATTGCACAAGGCTTTCTTCTGTGCCCGCTCTGGGACAGATCCTGTGCTGGGCTCTAGGTAAAGTGTTGGCCATGACAAGCCCATCCGTGACCCCAGGAACTCAGGGCCATGAAGGAATGAATTCTTGTTCAAGCCCCTTGATGAGGTTCCCAGGCCTAGAGGGTCCCCTATTCCAGAGCCTCCCTAGCCTCTCCAGAAAGGCTTCGTAGTCCCTACTTGGTCATCAGAGAGTAGCAGCAGGAAAGTGAACCGTGGTTAATGTGAGTAAAAAACCCCTGTCTCGTCTTCTGTTTAGATTAAGTTAATAGAAACTGAGTTATTGCAGCTGACACAGCTGGAGTTAAAGAGGAAGTCCCTGGACACAGAGACACTACAGGTATGTAGGGCTCCCTGCCCCTGCCCTCCCTCACATGCTGAGACCCCCACCTCATGCCCCTCCCAGCCCCTGGCAGCTGCTTGTCAGCCCCTGGGAGTCAAGGGCTTCCCCAGCAGACAGAGGGCAGAGTTTTTCTGTGGCTATGATACCAGAGGATGCCCCTCAGCCCCAGAAGGCCCAGCGCAGGCTGAGGTTAGAGGTGGTCAGCCTGTTGTGAGGCAGGAGGGTCAGAGGAAGGAGGGTTTCATTGCCAAGGCTCCCCTGCTCCATCTCCATCACTGTTTCCTGTGCTGGGTGCAGGCCCGCGCTGAGCTCTGTCTCTCTCTGTAGGCCATGCTTCATGCCCCTGGGCAGACATCCTCCAGGGTTGGAGCTTCTGGGTATCCCTGGGATGTCTGGAGGAGAGGGCCCAGCCACGTCTGTGTCGCCCCAGCCCGGCAGTCCTACTCACACAGAAGAGGGTGGCAGGGACTGGCAGCTGGTGTCCTGGACTGGACACCTGGGGGCCAGGTGTGGCTCGGCATAGCCCTGCTGCGTAACCTTGGCAGGTGGGGGAGTAGGGGCAGCCCTTGCCCCTCTGTGGACCTTAGCCCCTCCAGCTGCAGATGGAGGGCTGGATGGGGTGGTGTGTGAGGACATGTGCCGTGCCAGGCATTTGAGCAGAGCCTTCTGTCTGTCACTGTCCCTGTGTCTGTTCTCAGTAGAGAAGTCTCAAGTCATCCCATGGACTCCTCAGTGCAGTGAGAGGTCATGGCATACCTGGTCTCAGGTGCTCTGCAGGTACACTGTGTGCCTTTAGGCAGGCCTCTGCCCCTCCGGGCCTTCTTCCCCTACTCCGTATAATGGCAGCTGTCCTCCAGGCCCAGCCTGTGCCATCTGGCCATCGGAGAAGGCCGAGCTAGCAAGGGAAAGCCCTTTGTGAGCTTTGAAATGATCTCCAGGGATGAGGGGACTGGAGCTGCTCTCAGAGAAGCTGTGGCCATCGTGCCTGGCAGGTGTCCTAGTCCCTGCCCACGAGAGCAGCAGTGCTCCACCTGTCAGGGCCCCCATGGGGTTTCCAAGAGCAGGCATGGGAGTGGAACAAGGACCCCAGGCCCTGATTTGTACACCCCTCCGTTTGTGTGAGGCCCCATACCCCCCCCCCCCACCATTTGCTTCTGCCCATGTGCTCTGTTGTCTGGGAGACCAAAGGCAGGTACCCGTGGCTTGTCATTTCTTTTGTTTGATGTTTCTTACCATTCCATTGTCATCAGTCACCAGGATCCCATGCCTGACTTCACCCCACAAGGAAGAGAGATGCAGGCTTAGGGGAAGAGGGGCAGAAGAGCCTCTTAGCTTTGTCCCCCGGCGCAGCCTGGAGGCGTTGGGCAGGGAACCGAGTGAGCGGGAGGCCAAGCCCTTCTCCATCCTGCAGGACTCCTGCGGCGCCGCCAGCTCATGGTGGTGCGGGATGTGGTCTTGTGTTGCAGGAGATGGTCTCGGAGCAGCGCTGGGCCCTCAGCAACCTGCTCCAGCAGCTGCTCAAAGAGAAGCGGCAGCGAGAGGAAGAACTCCGGGAAATCCTGGTATGTGTTGGCTTCTGTGCTCAGCATCACACATGCGTTTGCTTTTCTCTAACAGACTGGCCATTTTTAGAAACACCTGTTATTTAAGTAAGAGTTGTTCATCAAAGAAAAACTGGAAAGTGCAAAGGAAAATAATTGCACTTCCAAGAGTTATCTCCTGCTGTTTTTTGTTGGTTTCCTTGTTTAAGACAGGGTCTCACTCTGTTGCCCAGGCCAGAGTGCAATGGCGCAATCTCGGCTCACTGCACTCTTGACTTCTTGGGCTCAAGTGATCCTCCCACCTTAGCATCCCGAGTAGCTGGGACTACAGGCATGTGCCACCATGCCTGGCTAATTTTTTTATTTTTCGTAGAGATGGGGTTTCGCCACATTGCCCAGGCTGGTCTCGAACTCCTGGGCTCAAGCGATCTATCTGCCTTGGCCTCCGAAAGTGCTGTGATTACAGGCATGAGCCACCGTGCCCAGCCTCTCCTGCTGTTTTGATGCATGTTTTCCAAACATTGTGATGCATTTTTATGGATATTTGTGGATCTGCCTTTTCAACATGACATGGTGCGTACTCTTTACGACCAGCCTGTGTCTGTACATTCTTTTCAAGCCGTTAAACCCTTCCTTGACATCCTTTCTCAAGGCTGTGCTTGGCCTCTATTGTTGAGTATGTGGATTACTTCTGGTGTTTCAACTTACAGGCGATGCTCTCTGAAATCCTCTGTAGTTGAGAATTTGGGAGCAGCCATGAGTATTCACTGCAGAACAGGACTTGCTATGTCTAGGACAGGCTGTTTGATAAGCTTTTGGTAGGAGTGGCCTGGCTGTCCCCTGTCCCCTAATAAGTTTGACGCTGGCACGCTTTCAGAGTGGCAGAGGCCCCCTTAAGAGTGTCTTCTCTAGACCCAGGGGGCACCCAGCAACGAGACCAGAGGCCAGGCCCACCACCTGGGGCGGAAAAGACCGAGTTACTCCTGTGTCATCGTGAATGCACAGATGTCCTCTGAGCTGCATCCTAGACCTGGCCCTGTGCAGGTGTTTTTTTCTTTTCCCAAGACAAAGGTTTGCTTTTGTTGCCCAGCCTGGAGTGCAATGGCGTGATCTTGGCTCACTGCAACCTCCGCCCCCTGGGTTTGGGCAATTCTCCTGCCTCAGCCTCCCGAGTAGCCAGGATTACAGGCATGCAACACCATGCCCAGCTAATTTTTGCATTTTTTTTTTTAGCAGAGACGGGGTTTCACCTTGTCGGTCAGGCTGGTCTTGAACTCCTGACCTCAGGTGATTCACCCACCCTGGCCTCCCAAAGTGCTGTGATTATAGGCTTGAGCCACCGCACCTGGCACCAGCTTCTTCTGGAGTCCTGAACAAGCCAAGTGGTTCCTGTGCCCATCAGAGGAAGCTGCCTATTCCTCATGGTGCCTTGCTGCCATCTCCTATGCATCAGGTTACTGGGCAGATGGTGCCCTGTGCTGTGCCATGGCAGCCAGGTGCTGTCGCTGGTGCTCCTGCCCTCGTAGGCCTTGGGGGTCACCACCAAGGGAGGAAGCACCACCCCAGCAGAATACAGCCAGTCCAAGCTCCTGGGTGCCAGAAGAGAGGGGCTGCCCAGGCCAGCGATAGAACGGAGCAGTGGGTGTGGCCAAGTCCACAGCGGTGGGGGCCCCAAAGGGCAGTCAGGCCTGGTGGGGATGGGGAAACACCTCCCCATGTCATGCCAGCCCTCACTGCTGTTCTAAGCAACTTTGTTGTTCTAAGCAAGACAAGCCTGGGGCCTGATTCCTGGCCCCAGCCTAGGCAGGGTACTCATTACTCTGAACCTCAGCTCCCTCATCTGGAAGGTGGAATCGACTTCACGGAGTTGTGAGAATCGGTGAGTGGCATCTATAGGTGCACAGCATGGCCTGGCACATGGTGCTCTGAGCACACCAGCTGCGCCTGTTGTCACCGTGGTCGTTATCAGCATCATTTGCTCACTGCTTTATTCCCAGCACCTAGAACAATACTCAACGAAGAGTTATCAAATGGTGGAATAGGAGAGTCATGTTCAGTAGCACACTGATCATTCTTCAGCTCCGTCAGACAGTGAAGCCCACTCTAGAAGCTGAAGGTGTCCTTCGCACCTGTATGCCCCCTGCCTGGTACCCAGGAGGCAGCCTGGGCTGCATAATGCTTGCTGTCCCACAGGCAGACAGAGGGTGTCCCTCCCAGAGTGCTGGAATATGGTGCCAGGTGGCAGCAGCTCAGGTTCAGGTGCTCTCCCTGACCAGGTGTGCAGCGTCGAGCGGATCAGAGAGTGATGCTTCCTGCCTTTCTCATTTCTATAGTTTAAACGGTGGGACAATAGTGGGTGGGAAAGTTCTCTGTAAAATACTAAGTGCCAGCTGGTCACAGTAACTCATGCCTATAATCCCAGCACTTTGGGAGGCTGAGGTGGGTGGATCACTTGAGGTCAGGAGTTTGAGACCAGCCTGGTCAACATAGTGAAACCCTGTCTCTACTAAAAATGAGCTGGGTGTGGTGGCAGGCACTTGTAATCCCAGCTACTTGGGCACTCCAGCCTGGGCGACAGAACAAGACTCCATATCAAAAATAAAATAAAATAAAATGCCAAGTGTGTTCACCTGCTCAGAGGAGCATCGTTCATAACCATCATTGTTAGTACAGGTTTTATTACCATTTTGTAACTAACATTGCCTGCTTCATTCCTGGCAGACGGAGTTAGAAGCCAAAAGTGAAACCAGGCAGGAAAATTACTGGCTGATTCAGTATCAACGGCTTTTGAACCAGAAGCCCTTGTCCTTGAAGCTGCAAGTAAGGACTGCCGCTGCCTGCCCCAGCCAGGGAGCCCCAGGGTCTCCCCCCAGAGCACCTCTGGCCTCCACCATGCTCTGCCTCTTGTTACCTTTCTGGTGACTCTGGCATGCCAGATCCTGTGCCAAGCCCCGGTGGGGACAGAAGTGAGAACGAGGGAGTATTCATTCTGGTGAGGGGGACAGCAAGGTGCTGGCCACTGCTGTGCGGTGCAGAGACCACTGAGCCCACAGTAGAGCGAAGCCTGTGCCTGGGGGCCGCTGTCTGCCCAGCACTGCAGGGACAGGGTGGTGGATGAAACAGCCCCCTCTCAGTGGATGTTCAAGTTGCTTACTATCTCCAGGTTTGCAGACAGAGTGGCAGTGAACCCCCCTGGGCCTATCTATCTCTGTGTGCCTACACATGCATTTTTGTAGTAATAATCCTGAGTACATTCTATGTATTGTGTTGTGTATATTCAAACCCTTCATTTCCTGTTGTAAGCAGTGGGTTCTTCCTTCCCACTCATGGTACACTTTTCCCTGGTCTGTCTTGCAGGAAGACGGCATGGAGCGCCAGCTGGTGGCCCTCCTGGAGGAGCTGTCAGCCGAGCACTACCTGCCCATCTTTGCCCACCACCGCCTCTCACTGGCCCTGCTAAGCCAGATGAGCCCCGGGGACCTGGCCAAGGTGGGCAGCAGCTGTCCATGGGGAGAGTGGGGAGGGTGGGGACGGGTGCGCAAGGCTGCTGGCCTGACCAGCGGGGGTTGACCTGCTCCTCGTGGAGTTCTCAGTGAGCTCTGTCCTTACCTAATGGCCTAGGCCCACCTTGTTTCCAGATGGCCAGAACGCCTGCCCATCTGCCCCAGCCGCCTGTGTGTGCCCTGGACACCATCTCACTGGGAAATCCTTGGGAGGTGGGTCCTGCTGACCTGCTCAGACTGGATCTTCAGACAGGAGGGACAAGACAGGCCCCTGGGGATTATCTGATCCAACCTCCGCCCTGTCCCTTGGTGTGACAGACTGTGGTGACCGCAGCACTGCCTGAGCCCCTATTCTGGGCACAAGCTGGGCTCTTTACAGCACATTAATCCACTTACTCTCCAAAACAGAATAATCATTGCTGTGCCAGCTAACACCTTCGTACCACCTGCACGTGCTGGGCACCATTTTAAGACTTTTCATATTTGAACTCACTGAATCCTCTCAACGGCCCAGGGAGGTACAGAGACTTATCATCTTTCAGATGAGACCCAGTAAGGCAATAACTTGGCCTAAGGTCACACAGCAGAGTGAGGCCTCTACCCCTAGCAATCCAGCCCCAGAGTTCCTGTTCTTTACCATGAGACTGTCTTGCCCCTCCCTGGACAAATGCAGACGCCAAGGTCCAAAAGGACTGGATGGCACCGAGGGTCTCCGGCTGTGCTGCTTAGGCTCTGAAGGCTGAGGGGCTGTGGGCTCAGGTGCTGCTGCTTAGTGGCTTGGCCTCAAGGGCTTCTCTCCTGCCTCACCTGGTGGGGAAGTGGCGTTGAGGTGTGCAGGTGAAGCCCGGTACTGGGAAGCAGTCGCTAAACTATGGCTGTTGCTAGTGCAGGCTTCCCTTTGGGCCTCAGTTTCCTTCCCACCCCCAGCACACCGATTGTGGGGCTGAGGCCTGAGGAGGCTGCCCTTAAAGTGACGATGCCGCACTGCCTCGTCCTGACCCCGGGCCCTGCCAGGCCCTGGACGGCTCCCACACTTCCAGCGAAGGTGCTGGTGCTTCTGTGGGCTGGGCCTACGCCAGGTGGCTCATATCATTTAGCAGGCTCCCCACAGCCCACAGTCTGCTCCTCCCTGAACTGTCACAGCTGGGCGTATCAGAAGCTGGCCTGCAGCACGAGATCCTCCGGAAGGTCCAAGAACTGCTGGATGCAGCCAGGATCCAGCCAGGTACCAGCGCAGCTCCAGCCTCCTCCGGGCAGGGCTCCAGCCGAATGCGTGGTTGTGGTGGGGACAGTCATTTGCTTACATTTCAGGATGAGTCCTGAGTGCTGCTTCTAGCCCCTGCCCGCCGGTAAGGTTCCCTCCCAAGGACCAGGCTTAGGGATTAGTGAGCCCGTTTTACAGATGGGAAAAACGGGCCACCAAAGTGGGGAAACAGGGAGACCTCCAAGTAGCAGTGGAGGACCCTCCCGGCTCCCTGTCCCTCCTTTCCTCAGCCCACCTATACACGCTGGGGTCCACACACCGAGGGACCCTGTCCCTCTCCTTCCCTCAGCCCACCCTGCAGACCCTGGGGCCCTCCCGGCTCCCTGTCCCTCCTTCCCCCAGCCCACCCTACCGACACTGGGGTCCACACACCGAGGGACTTTGGACTAGAGGGAGAAACAACCTGTCCCCAGGGCCTGCTGTGTACCCAGTGCTGGGCCTGAGGGGTGCTTGTGGCCGTGGAGAGATGTCCACAATGGGCTGGGAAGGGGTGAAGGCAGGTCATGAGGGCCGTGGGGAAAAGGGGCAGGTGTGGGGTCCGGGGTCTGCTGTGTGCTGAGCATGACCTGGGAGCTTGGCACCTGCCCACGGCCGTGTGGGAACCACGTTGCGGAACCTCCGAATCAACCCCATGGGGGGCACTGTTGTGGTCCTCATTTTCAAGATAAGGAAACTGAGGCGGAGAGAGGTTAGCATGTCCCCCGTCAGGTCCCACTGCTGGCACATGGTAGAACCGCTGGGCTTGACTGCCTCCCTGGGGAAGAGGTGAGGGGCCAGAGCAGGGATGAAGGAGAGGGCAGGCTTGTGCAGCCGGGCTGGGTGAGCTGCAGCCTGGCTGCCTGTGGGCAGAGCATTTTTAGCCAGAACCAAGGAAGAGGCGAAGTGGCCAGAGCGAAGGTGGAGTTCCTGGACTGGACCTCAGTGGGGAGGCCCGGCGCTCCAGGGGGCTAGGCCGACTGCAGCCCATGATAGCTTCAGACACCAGTTCTGCAGCCACCTTACTCCAGGGACATTGACTCAATCCCCCAAAAGTCACTAAACTTAGTTTTTTGATATCAAGTCATGTGCGGCATAGGCCCCTTCTGGATGTTCCCGACCCTTCAGCTCTCAGACTGGAGATCAGGAAGAGCTTGCCATCAGGAGCTAGGGTCGCCCCCAGCAGACAAGCCTCACATGAGCAGGAGTCACAAACAGGTGCCCCTCACGGGAGCAGGGTGCAGTGCCTCTGAGCCCAGTGGTCCTCAGGATTGACTGCTTCTCACTGTTTGGGTCATCCCTAGAGCTCGCAAGCAGGTCTTCCTCTCCATAGCTGATTGGCCACAAGGATCTGTGGCCATGTGCAGAAAGCGGATGCCTCGGCTACTCAGGGCTTCCTGCTTGTACCAGTTGGCAGGGGAAGGGGGTGTGGTGGGATCCAGCCTCAGTTCCAGAAGGCACGGGAAACCCTCAATTTCCTGACAATTATCTTATTACTCCCAGAAATTGGTATACTTTGTATCAAATATAGAGGCTGGGGTTGGGCGTGATGGCTCACACCTGTAATCCCAGCACTCTGGGAGGCTGAGGTGGGCCAATCACCTGAGGTCAGGAGTTTAAGATAAGCCTGGTCAATGGTGAAACCCCACCTCTACTAAAATTACAAAAATCAGCTGGGTATGGTGGCATGCACCTGTATTCCCAGCACTCAGGAGTCTGAGACAGGAGAATTGCTTGAACCTGGGAGGTGGAAGTTACAGTGAGCCGAGACCACGCCCCAGCACTCCAGCCTGGATGACAAAGTAAAACTCTGTCTCAAAAAAAAAAAAAAGCCAAAAAAGCAAATAGAGAGGGATTGCCTCTGAATGTGTTTTCTTCAGTTATCTAAGTATAGATAGATCTCCAGTGGCTCATGGCTGTAGTCCCAGCACTTGGGGAGGCCCAGGTAGGAGGATCAGTTGAGTCCAGGAGTTTGAGACCAGCCTGGGCAACATAGACCCCTTCTCTACACAAAGTAAGATAAAATTAGCTGGGTCTGGTGGTGAACTTCCTAGTTCCAGCTACTTGGGAGGCAAACGTAGGAGGATCACGTGAGCTTGGGAGGTCAAGGCTGCAGTGAGCCGTGATTGTGCCCTGCACTCCAGCCTGGGAAAGAGTGAGATTGTTTCAAAAACAAAACAAAAACAAAACAAAAAAAAAATCAAAAAATTAGCCCCAGCTACTCTGGAGGCTGAGGTGGGAGGATTGCTTGAGCCTGGGAGGTTGAGGCTGCAGTGAGCTGTGATCACGACACTACACTCCAGCGTAAGTGATGGAGCAAGACCCCGTCTTAAAAAAAAAAAATGCACACACACACACACACACAGACACACATGTATGAGAGCCCCCTCAAAATGGTGGTTTGGGGACAGCACTGTTACCTTTAGAGGATCTAGTATTGTAACAGCCTTTAAAAAATCTTTAGTATTTATCCTCTTATAAAAAAAAATGCTTGTAATTCAAGCCATAGAATAAATTAATAAAATGAGCCATGATCAGAAAGGGAACCAGGGATAGAGTCAAGGAAGTGGGTGGCTCACGTTGCATGATGAAAAAAAAAAAAAACAAAAAGCATATCGGCCAGGCACCGTGGCTCACACCTGTAATCCCAGCACTTCAGGAGCCAAGGCGGGCAGATCACTTGAAGTCAGGAGTTTGAGAACAGCTTGGCCAACATGGTGAAACCCCATCTCTACTAAAAATACAAAAATTAGGCATGGTGGCGCGCACCTGTAATCCTATCTACTCAGGAGGCTAAGGCAGGAGAATTGCTTGAACCCAGGAGGTGAGGTTGCAGTGAGCTGAGATTACGCCACTGCACTCCAGTCTGGGTGACAGAGCAAGACTCCATCTTAAAAAAAAAAAAAGGAGACAGCATTTTGTAAGGGCTGCTTCTGATGTCCTAGCAGGGGATGCCGGCTCCAGGGTAGAGCAGCCAGTATGCTGGGGACTCTGTGGGGCTGGGGTCGGGGGAGCAGCCTTGGGGAGGCCTCTCATTCTGCTCCCCTGGGTCGCCTGATGGGCAGCAGCCCATCCTGTCTCCTGGACAACCAGGCCGGCCCTTCGCTGAGAGCTCCTGCCCCAGGGCTCCAGTACTGCAGCTGCACCACCAGATGGCCCAGGGCCAGTGACTCCCCCCATCTAAGCCTCAAATGCCTCATCTCTGAAAGTGCCGATCCCTTCTTGCAGGGTGGCTATGAAGGGTCCTGGGGACATTAGAGATCAGAGGACCCAGTTAACAAGCTCTGCAGCCATCCCTGCAAAGATAGGCTGCACTCCCATTCTACAGATGGGAAATGAGGCTCAGAGAAGAGGAGAATGTGTGGCAAGGAGAGCACTTCCCCAGATCTGAGTGCAGAGGCTCCCCCACCCTCCAGCTCACTCACTATGGGGATAGGCTGGGCCACGAGGAGCCCCTAGGGGTTGGGGTCATCAGGGTTGACCCTGGCTCAGTCTGTCTATCTGGTCTCCACAGAGCTGAAACCACCAGCGGGTGAGGTCCTCACCCCCACAGCCCCCCAGGAGCCTCCAGAGTCCGTGAGGCCATCGGCTCCCCCTGCAGAGCTGGAGGTGCAGGCCTCAGAGTGTGTGGTGTGCCTGGAACGGGAGGTAAGTCTGGGTCTCCCCACTGTGCCTGCCCTGCCTGCGGCTGCGTCGTCAAACTCTCCAGGCACAGGGGCTACCTCCGAACGCGTTTTCTCCAGCTATCTAAGTGTATTGTGTTCATCTAGAAAATTTGGAAAACACAGAAAAGCAAAGAATGCAGGAAATAGAAATGACCCCCGATCCCACAACCCAAATATGAGCCATGCTCACGTCATTTTCCAGACCTTTTTTTCTTCCTACTTAATAAATACATTAGGAAAAAATCTTCCAAATCATGAAATATCAACAACATGATGTACCCAGCAGAGGCTTTTTAAAAATCTTTTGGCCAGGTGCGGTGGCTCGCGCCTGTAATCCCAGCACTTTGGGAGGCCAAGGCGGGTGGATCACCTGAGGTCAGGAGTTGGAGGCCAGCCTGGCCAACATGGCAAAACCCCATCTCCACTAAAAATATAAAAATCAGCCAGGTGTGGTGGTGGGCACCTGTAGTCCCAGCTACTTGGGAGGCTGAGGCAGGAGAGAATTGCTTGAACCTGGCAGGTGGAGGCTGCAGTGAGTCAAGATCCTGCCCCTGCACTCCAGCCTGGGTGAGACTCTTAAAAAAAAAAAATTTGAAAATTTCTTGCGGAATTAACACTGATTGTAGAAATTACACAGAGCAGTGAATGAAATACAAATTGTCCTCTGCCTCCACTGAGGGATCCTACTTAGAAAAGCAGCCATGTTTGCAGTTTGATGATTCTAGGGTCTCCAGTTGACCCAGGTCATGCCATGATACGGATGGACCTGTTGGTTCCAAATCTAATCCCTGTTCTGGGGCCCTCGGCGTTCCGGACAGCTTTGAGCAGTGCTTAGGTCAGTTCCTAAAAGCAGGAGATGCTAAGGCAAAGTGTGGTTCTGAGTCAATGGCTGCTGCTGCAGGTTGGGATCATTTTTAGACTGAGGAGTTCAGGGCCTGGGCATGTGCATCAGCAAGAAAGAAGCCTGAGCACCTTGCACACCCGCCGGCAGGGGCTGGCTGAATAGACCTCGGTCCTTGTCTGGAGGGCCCGAATATAATCCCATTTTATTTAAGAAAGAAATAGGGTCCAGGTACGGTGGCTCATGCCTGTAGTCCCAACACTTTGGGAGGCAGAGGTGGGCAGATCACGAGGTCAGGAGATGGAGACCATCCCAGTTTTTTAACACGGTGAAACCCCATCTCTACTAAATATACAAAAAATTAGCTGGGTGTGGTGGGTGTGCTGTAGTCCCAGCTACCTGGGAGGCAGAGGCTGCAGTGAGCTGAGATCCAGCCATTGCACTGTAGGCTGTGACAGAGCAAGACTCCATCTCAAAAGAAAAAAAAGTTGGGGCATATAGGTATTTTTATTTTTTACAGACTTAGAGAAATAGCGAACTGCTAACAGAAGGGCTAGGTTACCCCTTTCGTCCATGCCTGTTTTGTTTCTGTGGTGTTCAAATGCCTGGGCGCCCCACTGTCGGGTGCTTATGGTAAAGATGGTAAAGAATATGAAGGGGGCTGGGCATGGTGGCTCACGCCTGTAATCCCAACAGTTCGGGAGGCCCAGACAGCCAGATCACTTGGGGTCAGGAGTTTGAGAACAGTTTGTAACTCTGTCTCTACTAAAAATACAAAAAAATTACCTGGGCATTGTGGCACACGCTCATAGTCCCAGCTGCTTGGGAGTCTGAGGCAGGAGAATCATTTGAACCCGGGAGGGCAAGGTTGCAGTGAACCAGGATCGTGCTACTGCACTCCTGCCTGGGTGACAGAACAAGACTGCCTCAAAAAAAAGGACATGGGGCCTGGGACTCCTGGAACGCGGCAGGGCTGGCCACACGCTCTCACTCTCCCTCCCCAGGCCCAGATGATCTTCCTCAACTGTGGCCATGTCTGCTGCTGCCAGCAGTGCTGCCAACCACTGCGCACCTGCCCGCTGTGCCGCCAGGACATTGTCCAGCGCCTCCGGATCTACCACAGCAGCTGAGTGCTGCCCGCCCACCTTGGCCTGGCCCTGCCTCAGTCACTGTGAGCCCCAGGCTTCTGCTCAGCCTTGCGCCAGTCAGACTCATACGAGGTCCCCCCTACCCTGGGCCCTTTCCCCACTGCCCAGGAGCCCCCACCTTGAGCTCCAAGCACCTCTGGGCCAGGCAGAGGTGCTCCTGATCCATGACACCACCAGTCTGAATGGTCCCTGGGGCCGCGGCTGGACGGGCCGCTGCACCACCACCCGAGCCTGGGAGCCAGCATCCCAGCCTAATCATGGATCTGCTGCCTCCCAAGTTCTCTGACTGAAGGTCATTCTGCTCCTTCCGGAGCTTGGGTCCTCATCTGGGGACCATGCACAGTCCTGTCCCGCTCTGCATGTGGGGAGTGAGCAGGAGGGCCCAGATCGGTGAGGGGAGGCCGTGGCCGTGGGGGCCATCCTGGGAAGGCAAGCAGTGCAGGCCTATGCTCACAGTGGTGCTGGCACCCCTGGGCCTCCCTCTCTGCTGCTTCCCAGCACACTGGGGCCCTCCTGCTCTCTGCAACTGTCCCTCCTCACACCATGTGGCTTGATCCAAAGTAGGGGTGTCAATAAACCCATCTTCAGCATGCTTCTGGCCAGAGTCATTGCAGGGTCCTCATGGGAGCCCGGGAATGGGAGGGGATGAGGTCTGGGGATGGGGCTAGGACAGAGGGCACCTCTACTTGGGGAAGGAACCAGGAGCGCACTGCCCCTCAGTTGAAAGGAGAGGTCGGTAGAGCCATCTTGAGGTGGAGAGATTGGGGCCCAGAGGGAAGGCACCGAGAGGCAGCCAGAGCTGGTCATGGTTGCAGCCTGTGCCTCTGAGCGGAGGAGCCCTGTGGGCGGGCTGTGTGTTCCGTACTTTATCCCAATGAGGCAGCTGAGGCTGATGGGGGTAAATGCCTAGGGCCTTGCAACTGGGACATGGTGATGTGGGGTTTGAGGCCCAGAAGCTTCCTCACCCTCAAACGTGTGCAGTTGTGCAGGTCGGTCCCTGCACAGTTCTAGGAGCCATATACACTCGCACTCACTGCAGGGGTGCACGTTGATTATGCATTTTCTGGCAGCTGGTGTTGAGCCAGGGGAGCCTCTACCTTGGGCACATGGCAGGGAGCACCTGGGCTCTACCTCCAGCCTAGTGACCCTGGCCAGTGTTTGGGCCTCAGTTTCAGCTAGTGGCCTCCAGGGGGTGCTGAGTGCTTGCCCCAAGTACAACATCCATGGGTGTAGGCAGGAAGGTTCAGGTTCTGGGGTGGCAGAAAAGTCCCTACACCCAGGCCTGTTTCCCCCTCCCTGAGACCATCAGTCCTGTGCATGGAACGCGGGTGACCACTCTTTGTTGTGCGGGTCCTGTTTCCCAGGCAGGAGTTGGGTGGCCTTTTCCCATGTCGGCACCCTCGGTTCACCCTCCCAACACCCTCCTGGGTTCAACTTGCCAAGGGGGAGAGACCGAGGCAGGTGGAGCTACCTCCTGGAGCACAGCGCTTTGCAGATCTTCTTCTACTCCCACTAGCCCAGGGAGGCCTCATGGAAGAGCTTGAGGCTCAGTGACCTGCCGAGGACAACAGCAAGGCACAGCCACATCCCTGTGTTCCATACGTTACCCCGCTGAGGCTGATGGGAAATACCATGCAGCCCTGTCTTGTACCTCGGCCCTTGTTGACCAAGGGAGGCTCAGGCCCAAGCCCTAGGATGCCACGGACAGGCTGGCACCAGGGAAGCCAATGTTCCCCAAGGCGACTGGCTGCCACCCCATCCAATAAGGACATGCTTTTACCCATAGGTGGGGCAACCTATACCCAACAGCTGCAGGGGCTTGAGGGGTGTTCCAGTGCCCCATAAGCTTGGCCCAGGTTCCCCACCTTCCTAGGCCTCAGTTTACACATTAGTGAAATGGTGGTGACAGCAGTGTCTACTTTCTGGAGCCACCTCGAGGCTCCTGTTCCCATACACACTGTGTTTGGCCCACAGTGAACGCTTGGTAAACACTAGTGTGTGATCGGGAGTGTTGATGGATCCAGCCCGATCCTGGGCCCACCCCACTATGAGCACCCCAGGGTCCTGAATGGCCTTGAAGCTGCTGCCTGCCGCTGTCCCTCTGAGCCTCACCATTGCCCAAGGCTGCCTGAGGGGCACCTGGCACCGGTCTGGCTGAGGAAGCTGCCTCTACCCCTGCAGCACAACTCAAGGCAACTGGCTTTAAATAAAGCGTTTATTGATTAGTAGAAGCATGAACAGTGTGCATAATATTTTCAATACAATATCGGGGGGATGATGGGAACCCCCCAAAAGGCACTAGAGGCACAGATCTTCAGTACGAGAGGGGAGAGAGGCGCTAGAGACCAGGGCTTGGGGGGCTGGGGGGTCCCTGAGTGCCAGGCACCACTGTGGGTCAAGGCCCCTCCTCTGGGGAGCAGGTCTAGGGCATGGAGGATGCAGGGCTGGGAGGAGACCCCACCTCAGGACCCTGAAGGAGCCCATTTCTTCCCTACCCGCTGCAAAGCAGCAGGGGAGGAGGTCTGGGGGGCTCTGGGGTGGGGGTTGCCAGGCCAGGGCTGTCCTGGCTTGACCCTTGTCCCAGGAACAAGAAGCTGAGGAGGGACAACAGCCAGACCCAAAGTGACAAGGACATCCAAAGAGGGGCCTGGATTTTCAGGGGAAGGTGACTTGGTGACTGAGAGGCAGCAGAGATTAAAGCAAAGCCGGACCCCAGACCTTCAGGGAGTACCCCACACCCCTCAGGGGCCCCACCCGGCTCCCTAGGCAACCAGTGAGGTGGCTGATAAGACAGTGGACTCCAACCCCACTATACCCCTTGCTCCCACTCCCTTCCCCAAGCACCAGTAGGACGGGGACCCGAGGGAGACCTGGAGGGTGGGTGGTCAGGACGGAGGCAGGCTGGGGCCAGAGAAGGGGGTGCACAGGCAAAACTTCAGGCTCCCCCCAACCCTCGCTGCCATCTCAGCCTCATTCACTCACTCCCAGCCTCCCTGGGGACCCCTCCTTCCCTCGGGACACTTCCCTTCCTCACACCTGCACGTTCTGGGTCTTTCTCATTCTACCCACCCCGCAAGGCGCCCCCCCAAATCCCATCCCTCCCCCCAGCACCCCCAGCCTGGCTCCAACCTGAAGACCCCCTCCTTCCCCTTCCCACCGGAATGGTGGGGAAAGTGAGGCTGGGTCCACCCCTAACAACTTTGGAAGGAGCAGGGCCAGGGGCCGCAGCGCTCCCTGCTCCCCGTCCTAGCCCAGCCAGCCCCTGGGTGAGTGGGCAGGAACGTACTGGCTTCACACCAGCTTCCACCTCCCTCTCTCCAGGAAGGTTAGCAGCACCCACGAGGGGACAGAGGCCACAGGACAGGAAAGGAGGGGCTTTGCAGCACCCACAAGGGGACAGAGGCCACGAGACAGGAAAGGAGGGGCTTTCCAGCCTCCTAGCAGTGTCCAGCCCTCGGCACAAGCAGGAAAACCCCAAAACCAGCCCCTGCGTTTGAGATCATCCCATAGAAGAGGAAACAGGGAGCAATAAAGTGTTGGCTGAACCCAATAAAGTGACTCAGGCAGGCCCGCTCCTCCCGACCCCTGGCGGTGCCACACTGCCCTGTCCTACCTCTACCCACAAGGCACAGACCAGGGTGCCCTCCCCAGAGCCAGACCTGCCTGGGCCCCGAAGGGAGTGGCCGGTGCGGTGTGCAGCAGCCTGGGACCCACGGGCCTAGAACTCAGTCTGCACCCCTGCACTGTCCTCGGTGGTGGTGTGGAGGGCAGGGTGGCTGCCGGGGCTGGATACCTGCTCTCCGGTCTCCTGGTCACTGGGCTTGGGGGGCCCAAAGTCCACAGCCTTTCCAGGCAAGAGATGCTGGAGGGGTGAGTCAGGTGGCGAGGAGGCCTCGGGAGCAGCCTCGGGCTGGGGACTCTCCCTGGCGGGGGCCCCGTTGGGCAGGGGGCTGGCCGGCGGGGGACTCTCAGCCCGCAGACCTTGGGCCAGCAGGCCTCGGATCTCGGTGACACTGTCCGGGGACGTGGGTGATGGTGACTCAGGGCCAGCCTCGAAGGGCATCCCTGCCTCCTCATCCTGGACCACGGAGACCACCTGCTTGGCGCGCCGTCGTTTTTCCGAGAGGGTGGCTGCCTCCGGGGAGCTCGGGCTGGGGCTGCCGCCCCCACTACTGTTGCTGTACTCCTCACTCCAGTCGATGGGGGCGCCCTCGGCCAGCAGGTGCAGGTTGGGGTCGCTGTTGTGCATGACCATGCTGTCCCGGTACAGGTTGTGCTTCCTCTGCACTGCGGCCTCCTTCACAGCTGCAGGGCCACAGTGGGAGAGTCAGGACACAGCACTGATCCCACGGCTGCCCCGTGCTGGACTCTGCTCAAAGGAGACCGGTCTCATCCCACCCTGGGCGTCTGTGGATGTGACTCATTCCAGGCCTCACTGCTGAAAGCAGCAAGGTTGGGATGCTAACTCCGGGCCCAGCCTGGTGACCATGTATCATCTCATCACTCATCTGACCCTCTCAGCAAAGACAAGGACTGGAGAAGAAACTAAGGCACAGAGATGCAAGGCTAAGGCCACTCCTGGGGCCACACAGCGAACAGGGGGCTTCACCCAGCCCCCAGGTGCAAGTCTGGGCTCTTTTTTTTGTGCTTTAGCTGACCCCCTCACCTGCCACCACCTCTCAGCTGCCCCCCAGCATCCCCCCGGCCACAGTCCCGCCCTGGACAGCACCCACCCTGCAGGATGTCCTTCATGACAGTCTGCAGCACCACCTCCTCGTACGTGTTCTCCACCAGGATGAACCTGGCAAAGTCCTCGAAGATCAGCTCCTGGAACCGGGGCAGCTCCTGCCCGGGTGGGGTGGCAGAGATGAGAGGTCAGGGCCTGGGGTAAAGGGAGGTCTGCACGCTCCACCCCCTACCCGGGGCCCACACGGCTGGAGTGGGTGGGGGCCGCTCACCGACTTGCAGGTGGGGGCCAGCTTCTTGAGCAGGAACGGGATGCTGATCTGCAGCAGCGCCTCCCGGAAGAACTTCTTCCGCACGGAGCTGCTGTCATAGTCATATTTCTGCAGGGAACAAGGGGGTCAAGGGCCTGCCAGTCATGGGCTCCACTGGCCCTGAGGTTAGGACGAGGCCAGTGGTCTGACCCAAACCTCCAAGTCCTCATACACACAAGAGGACCATGATGCCCCCTTGCAGGGACAGCAGTCCCGGTGGTGGCCGGGGATGGGGCTCAGGGCTTGGCCTTGCCTCGGACAGTCCAAGGCAGGGCATGGGGCCGCTCACCTTCAGCACCCGCTCCAGGACCCGCTGGATGGACTTGCACAGCTCCTCCTTGGTGGGCCCCTTCCCCAGCTCCTGGTGCAGGAGGGTCTCGAAGGTATACACAGCATTGTCCATTTGCTGCGGGGCACATCACGGACCCATGAAGCCCCCAGGGAGACCACAGCCCCTTCCTGGATGCTGCTGAGGGGTCCTCACCCTCAGCCAGCCTCCCACCCCGAGGCCTGCCAGGGCAGCATGGTGAGCAGTCTGTGCCCCCTCACTCATTCGCCCACTCACAGCACTGCACGCTGGGGCCAGTCCCTGCCTTAAGACCACAGGAAACGTGGGAAGGGGCTAGGGGGAGCAAGGAGAGCTTCCCGGAGGAAGGGGTCTCTGAGACCTGGGAAATGAGTCAGAATTAGCCAGGTGGGCAGAGGCACAGATGTTCTGAGCAGAGGAGGAGAGTGCGTGCCTGGCAAGCGTGGCTATGGCATGGCAGGGATGGAGCAGAGGGGACCCCTCCCCCCAGGTGAGGGGCCTGTGGAAGGCAGTGGGTAGAGTAGGGGTGGGGGTGGCAGTCTCGGGTCTACCTCCCGCATGTGGATCTGGGCTCGCTGCTTGAACACCGACGTGCTGGACACATCGAACCGCTGCTGCAGCCCGTCCAGACGCAGTGACTCCATCTTCTCGTAGCAGCTGTGCATCTTCAGGGGGTGGAACGCCAGCCGGGACAGCTTCTCCATGTACTGCAGGGGTGGGACGCGGTGACTGAGTGGGGCCACCCCATGGCCAGGCGGCCCCCACACACACATTTTACCTGGGTCTTCGAAGTCCCGGCCCAGGGGCTGGCGCCTGCTGCCAGGGATGACCACCTGGTGCTGGTGGCCACAAAGGTAAACCCAGGAGAGCCCAGGACAGAAGGATGAGGCTCTGAGGGCACGGGGGGCGTGGTCCAGAGGCGCAGCATTGTGGAGAGGCAGCCTGGGTGCTGGGAGAAGCGCCTCATCCCTCCTGGGCTGCTGGGTGACCTTGGCCAAGCCATTTACCCTCTCTGAGCCTCGGTTTCCTCAGCTTCAGAATTGGGAGTTAGCTTTCATGCTCTCCAAGGTCCTCTCCAGGTCTCAGATTCTGAGATTATTATGGTCTGTGGACCCCCGCATTTCAGAGTATAGAGGAGGAAACTAAGATACAGGATAAATTTAATCTGGCAATTACATGGGCTCCAAGAAGGGGACTGTGGAAGGACATCCACCCCGAGAGCCAGGTAACTGAGGTCAACGGTGGGCGATGGCTGTCTCCGTTTGGAGGGCGTGTGCCTTGTGAATTCTGCGTTGTCCATCTCATCGCTCCGCCTGAAGCCCTTCCATCCCTCTCCCCTCCTCTCCTTCCCTCCTTCCTTCTCTGTTGAATTCTTTTCTATTTTCTCACCACTCTTGGTTTATAAAGGCTAATGGCAGGGAGTTGGTGTTCCCCCTTTCCTCTAACTGCAGGCCCCACGGCCTCGGCCCCTAGTCCCCAGCAGCCCCTCCCGGTCTACAGGGACAGCCTGGAGGGGAATGACTGCCCTGAGTCACACAGGGCCCTCAGGGACAGACCAGACCCACACTCAGGAGACCCCCTCCCAGGGGCGGCGCCAGCCTCACCTCTCCCAGCTTGTCAATGCCACCCTCATTGATGACGTTCAGGTTCATGTCCGTGACCTCCTTGAAGAAGACGTCCCGCACTTCAGTGAAGCCCTGGCTGGTGGGCACCATCAGGGCCTCCAAGATGGACGTGATGTAGGGCTGGACGTGGTTCCGGACGCACACCTCTGCCTTGGGGAGGATGAAGGCTGTGCCGGGAAGGGAGCCGGGTCAGCAGGGGGTCCCTGAGGAGCAGCTCCCAGCTCTACTGGAACCCAGATGCTGAGGCTACTGTTTTACTATTATTGTTATATTCTTACTATTATTTTATTTGAGACAGGGTCTTAATCCAATGGGAGATTGCCCAGGCTGGAGTGCGTCACTCCCTGCAGCCTCACACTCCTGGGCTCGAGCAATCCTCCCACCTCAGCCTCCCAATGTTGTTATCATTTTTATTTCAACTTTTAAAGATTCAGGGGGTGCATGTGCAGGTTTGTTCCATGGGTATACTGTGCGATGCTGAGGTTTTGTGTAAAATTGATCTCATCACCCAGGTAAGCTAGGTACCCAAAAAGTAATTTTTCAGCCCTCCCCCAACTCTCTTCCCATTATTATTACTCCTATTAATTTTTGAGACAGTCTCATCCTGTCGCCCAGGCTGGAATGCAATGGCATGATCTCAGCTCACTGCAACCACTGCCTCCCGGGTTCAAGTGATTCTTCTGCCTCAGCCTCCCAAGTAGCTAGGAATACAGGTGTACACCACCACGCCTGGCAATTTTTTGAAGTCACGCTGTCGCCCAGGCTGGAGTGTGGTGGTGCGACCTCGGCTCACTGCAAACCTCGCCTCCTGGGTTAAAGCGATTCTCCTGCCCCAGCCTCCCAAGTAGCTGGGACTACAGGCGCACGCCAACACGCCCAGCTAATTTTTTGTATTTTTAGTAGATACAAAGTTTCACCATATTAGCCAGGCTGGTCGCAAACTCCCAACCTCAGGTGATCTGCCCACCTCGGCCTCCCAAAGTGCTGGGATTATAGGTATGAGCCACTGCGCTCAGTATTATTATTATTTTAAGAGGCAGGGTCTCACTATGTTATCCAGCTGGTCTCAAACTCCTGGGGTCAAGTGATCCTCCTGCTTTGGTCTTCCAAAGTGCTGGGATTACAGGTATGAGCCACCAATATTATTTTTAAAGAAAACCACTGGGGGCAAGATTAGCAAGCTGAATGATTCCAGAGAAACAGTGATCAAGATGAGAAATCCATGCAGGAAAAATGACAAGGTTTTCTGAGATTGATCCCTGATCTTTCCAAAACAATGATGGCAAAAAACTAAGAAAACTGCCATTTAACAAGAGATTAATAATCAGAATATATAAGGGAGCTCAAACAAGTCTATAGGAAAAAATCTTAGTAATTCAATTAAAAATAAGCAAAAAGGCTGGGCAAGGTGGCTCATACCTGTAATCCCAGCACTATGGGGGGCCGAGGAGGGTGGATCACCTGAGATCGGGAATTCGAGTCCAGCCTGGCCAACATGAAGAAACCCCATCTCTACTAAAAATACAAAATTGGCGTGGTGGCACATGCCTGTACTCCCAGCACTTTGGGAGGCCGAGGCAGGTGGATCACCTGAGGTCAGGAGTTCAAGACCAGCCTGGCCAACACGGTGAAACCCCCATCTCTACTAATAATACAAAAAATTAGTCGGTCATGGTGGCATGCACCTGTAATCCCAGCTACTTGGGAGGCTGAGGCAGGAGAATCGCTTAACCCAAGAGGCAGGGGTTGCAGTGAGCTGATATCACACCACCACACTCCAGCCTAGGCGACTGAGTGAAACTCCATCTCCGGGGCAGGGGTGGAAGGCTTGAACCTACTGATCAAAAATTTTTATGTTCAAGATCTGAGTTTATAGAAATCATAGCCACAAAACAGCTCACAGGGGTTGGAGGACCACAGTGCAGATTTGACCCTAATTTTTTTTTTCTTCCCAGGCAGTGCTGAAGAAATTGACTCAAATTTTTATAAATGATCAATGAGCAAGTCATTGCTGTGAAACTTACATGGATCATGGAGGGCCCATCAGACATGGGGGTGGCACCTACCTCGGATCTTGCTGGCAAGGTGCTCCTTGGAGGTGATGATTTGGTCCATGTCTGTGCGGATGACGGCCTTCATGGCCGGCCGTGCCTGCTGCACCTTGGCTAGCACCTCCTCAAAGCGTGCCTTAGCCTGTTCGTATACCATGCGGTACACGGCGTCCGAGATCTGTGGGCAGAGCAGCTGCATCGGCACCGGGGCTGAGGGTACTGCACCAGCTGCAGGTCCCGGCACCAGGGCTGAGGGCGCCTTGCCAGCTGCAGGTCCTGGCACCAGGGCTGAGGGCACTGTGCCAGCTACAGTCCCACCCCCACTCCAGGGCCCCAGGCCCACCCACCTGGATCCACTGCCGCTGCCGCTCCTGTGGTTTCCCCTTCAGCCGCGGGGCGAGCTCTGCCTTCAGCTCGGGGCCCAGCTCCTCCATCACCAGGTTGCTCAGGATCTAGATTGAGGAGGCACAAGCCAGTGCAGGGGTAGAAGCACGCTCAGGTGGCCTGTTTCTCTCCGCATTCTTGCAAGTGGGGCACTCCAGTCCCCACCTCCACCAGGCCTGGCCCACTGCTCCACCCCCACACTGCCCCCTCTCTCCTGAGCTTCATTTTCACAGGTCCTGATGGATCTACCCGGGTGTCCTGCAGGATCATCAGACTTGGGGGCCAGCCCCAGGGCCTTTGCACATGCTGTCTCCCCCACCTGGAATACCACACTCCCTGCCTGCTTTGCACATGGAAGTGTGCATTGATTTGCTGAATGTCTGTTTCTCCTGCTAGACAGAGAGCTCCCTGAGGGCCAGGGATGTGTCCATATGGTTCCCACCTTCACCCCGATGCCTCGTCCAGGGTAAGTGCTCAGGTGCTCAGTAAGTGATGAATAAAATAGCAAGTATCTCTATTTGCATGGGCCCTGAGCCTGTCCAAATCTAAGCTAGTCATCTTCCAAACCGGCAGCACCCCAGAACCCCGTGTCTGTATGCAGCACCCCCGCCCTCCCCTGCTGGGTCCTCACATGACTTCCGAGGTCTCATCCCCAGCCCGCCTAGCCTCACCTGCACCTCATTCCCACACAGCATCTCCCAGGTGCCATACAGCTCCTTGGACTGGCGGTACATGCGGATGGCATCTGTGAATGCGGGGCCCTCCACCTTGGAGTCCTCGGGGATTCCTGCCCAGGAGAGGGAGCGGGAGAGGTCAGCAGATGGCCCAGTGGCCTCTAACAAGACCAGCTGATGACTCACCAGAACCTCCCCACACATACAGCGGGAGGGGCGGCTGGGACCCCCCCAGTGCCCTTGTGGTCATCAGAGCAGTCATGATTGTATCTGACAGCAAGAACGGTAATGACCCCACCACCAACAGCAGCGAGGCAGCCCCCCTTGCCTCCTCCTTAGCTCCTGAAATCCTCCCAACCACCCCAAGGCCTGGACACTATCGTTCACCTGGCTTTACAGAAGAAGAGCGAACCGGCTGGAGGCCAGGCCACGGGCACAGGGTCACAGGGCAGAGGGTGGCAGAGCCAGGACTGGAAGCTCCCATCCCATGAGCGGCCACCCAGAATGGCCCTAGAGGCACCCAGAGACCCTTGTTCTAGCCCCGTTTCTGCCTTACTGCTGGACCATGGCCCTTCGAACTTTGCCTGGAACAGGCTAGACAGTAGCTGTTCTCAGCCCTGCAGGCCATAAAACCCCTCCTGCAATGCTCGCCTCTACTGTCACCGCACAGAAACAGCCACCGACCATCCAGAAACAAACGAGCGTGCCTCTACTGATGAGCTTTGTGGACAAAAACAGGTGATTGGCTGATTGGAGCCCACAGGCCATAGGTTGCTGAGCCTGGTTCTAGATCGCTGAGAAGGCCTGTTTCCTCTTCTGAACAAACAGTGACCGTGGCCTGGCCTCACAGACCCACTGTGGGGCTCCATGGGCCACAGTATACGGATGGGAGAGCAGGGCCCAGCACTGCCCTGGCCAAACTTTTTATCAATAACTGAGGAGCCCGCTGGCTGCCCCACCAGGCCTGGGGTCTGCCCTGTTCACTGCCAAGTCTAGGTCAGTACCTGGCACAGATGATTGAATAACTTTGTTAAAGAATGAAGCTAGGCTGAGTGCAGTGGCTCACACTTGTAATTCCAGCATTTTGGGAGGCCAAGGCGGGGGATCACGAGGTCAGGAGTTCAAGACCGGCCTGGCCAACACAGTGAAACCCTGTCTCTACTAA